TGTTGGGAGGAGAGAGTATGCTCTCCATGAACATTGGTTTTCAGTGCTACGAACCTCCATTGGTGTATTATTGGTGCAATGCTGCTCTCTGGACATGGTGTGACTATTTGGCTTTCAATGTGATGGTGTGGTCTGGAATTGTCATCTCGCTGTTACTTATTTTCCTTGCAATTTGGTACCAGAGCTGGTTCATATTGCGCTTCATTGGTTCTTCGCAATAGCTATTGGTGCTTCGCATGAGGTGTGCGGCAGTGATAAGGCATTGGCGTTGAACGTTAGGCGGCCCAGGGTAGAGTGGGCGCGCCAGGGAGCTATGTGGTGACATACGGGATGTATGCTGGATGATGAGAACTCGCTGATGTGACATATTAAGCTGAGGTGGAACCGCATTCTGCTGTTGGTTGTGCCCAGGCAAAGACCGGTCATCATAATTGCACATCAGGTTGCCGGTGAGAAATCTGGGGTTGGGGGCAGCATTTATGAGGTACGTTGCTCTCTTCCTTATCTACCCTCTTCATCTCTTCTTACCGTGAGGAAGTGAGTTTTGTCTTGAGAGTCCTCTCGATGTGAGGTGTCACGAGCGCTCAACCTTGAGAGTCGACATTCTTCCTGGGCAGCAAGCTGGTGGGAGATGGGCGAAGCCTCTGAAGGGCCCTGGACGAAGCACTCGGGTCACGGTCACCATGCCAACCCGCTGGGACTAGTACACGCATGCTTGGGCAGCAAGTCCTTGGTACCGCTGCTTGCGCAATAGAGGTTGTGCAGGGCATGCCAGCCTTTTATGAGACGCCTACCAGATCGTCTGTAAATATTTCTGGCTGGGGACTCGGATCTTAATCTGGCTGTGATCGTCATCCTATCTGCGACGTTAAATAATTCCTGAGGAGATGGGGGCCCTCCTTAAATCCGTCCTGATCAGCCAGATCAACCGGGTGTAAGGCTCGTTCCGTACGAGGGTAAATACGAGTGGAATGGCTGGCATGTTCGGCAATGACTTGTGCCATAGGGGTAAGCCGGATTGCACACCTTTAGACACGCTGCTCAACCAGATGCTCAGGAACGTTGACACAAAGAGACCACTCAAAAAGGATACAGGGGGAAGGGGGATTCTGGTAACTGTTCACAGTGGCAATCAACTATCAATGTGCCATCCAGTCTACATCTCCAATAGGAGATGTTATTTTTATTTTGATTATCTAGTTGTTACCGACTTGACTAACAACTGACAGACAACTACAGATAGATTAGATCTTTGTTGTGGTGCAATCTGTTCCAGGGTAATCTAAAAATAGAATTAATATACCCTGTAGGACCTGACATTAGTTGTTACTATATCACCTAACTGTTTCTGTTCCAGCCGACCGAAAGTAGTTGTGGTTCACAATCGGTTGTGTGTCAGGCTAAGGTAGGATTCAGTGTGGATTCTAGTTTAGATCACACACACTGTAGCTCATAAGTGATGCAAGCACTAGTGAGGAGGAGTTGCTAGTGGACGACCGTAGGACTACTCGCGGGACTGCCCGCAGTCGACCCTTGACATTCTTGGAGTTAGGTCCAGGAGACCAGAGAAGATTGAGGAGAGAGGCTAGAGAGAGAACAGCGGCAAGGAGAGCGAGGGCAGTTGAGGATAGTGCCAAGACTAGAGTCTCAGCTAGTACAGGTGCAACCATGGCTACCTCAGCTATGTCGCAAGTCTCTACACAGTCCACTTCGTCAGGAGTCAGTCAGAGTGGTTCTCAGGTTTCAACTAGTCAGATTGCTAGCTTGCGAGTCAGCCCGCAAATTCAACTCACGCCGGAGGACTTAGAAATCCGGCAAGCAGAAGAACTTCAGGATGAGCTACAGGGGCAGTTGGACGAGGCAGCAGAGAGGAGAAGAAAAGCCATACTTAGGAAGGCTAGACTAGGGAGTAGAATGCAGGAGCTAGGAAGACTGGAAGCACTAGATGAGGTAGCATTAGACCCTGTTGGTCGTGTGCTGCGTAATGCTTTACTTTCGGTAGCTGAAGCGCACAACGTCCAGCAGGAATTGCTGGCCAAATTGGTTGCAGGCCAGAAGCAAATCTTGGCTGAACTTCGGGCTCCTCGCATAGCAGTGAGGCAGCCACAGTTTGTTGTAGTTCCCCCTGTAGGTGCGGGTCTATCATCGATGCCGCAACACACAGGGTCAACTTTCTCTCCTATGTTTGGCATGCCCCCTCCAGGTGGTTTAGCAGCAACTAGTGGTCCGGTTCAAAGAGTCTCAGTCGTCCCATCCACGACACTCGGAACTATAGTCCCACTGTCAAGCTAGGCCCAGGTTAGTGTGCAACAGCCTGTTTCAGTGGCTATGCAGCCGCTGCAGCAAGCCCCTGGGCCCATGCAGCCTATGCAGTGGATGCCTAAGATACCCCTAGTCCCAAACCCTTCTCTGGAGATAGAAAGAAGGAGGACTTGGACACCTGGGTGAGGACTGTGCCTACTTATGTGAGGCACAAGCTCACACGGCCAGAGCACGAAGTTGTTGTGGCTGCCTCTTTTCTAGAAGGGTCAGCAGCTCGCTGGTTGAATGGCCTAGTGCATCAACAGGGCTACGGTCAGGATTTCGATGTCTGGGCTCAGGCTCAGACATTGGAACAATTCGTACGGTCCGTCTACAACAGGTGGCATGACCCGCAAGGGGCTCAAAAGGCCACCGATGCTATCAACAACCTTTTTTCCCTCAGGTTCAAGGATGTTAGAGAGCTTACGGACACCGTAGAACACCTTCTCGTGGTACCTGGTGTGCGTTTTGACCAGCAGGTTCTCCTGACGGATCACCTAAGGTGCCTACCTGCAGAGGTAAGGACCAAGCTGGTTGACGAGGCCTATGTCGAACAGCACACCTTCGCTTCTTTTAGTAAGAAAGCTCTGGACATAGAGGCCAAGCTGGGATCTGCGCATAAGGTATCTCACGATGGTAGGAAGAGACTCCCCCAAGACTGGAAGAAGAAGGGTCAGTTGATGTTCGTAGACCATGATGGTCAAACGACGGAGATTGACGATTTCCCAAACCTTGGGGAAGGGACAGAGCAGGATGGGGCTAGTGAGACTTCAGATGGTGAAGTCGTGGCGCCCATCAAAGAAAAGGTTAGGGGGACCGGGAAGAAGAAGGCAGGACGGTCCACGGGTCAGGGAGACCAAGGGACACCCACATGGGTAAAGCTTGGTTTGGATTACGAGGTGTGGAGGGACCGAGTTGCCAAGGGCACATGCAAGAATTGTGGTAACTATGGCCACACGTCCAGGACTTGCCGCGGCAAGGAGGTCACCACGAAGGTAGCCTCACCAATGGTGGTGGGCTTATCTTCGAACCCTGGGAGTGCTTTTGCGAGCAGCTCACAGGGAAACACCTCGGGCCAGTACGAGTGTTAGCCGCTCTTACTCGTGCTGAAGTGGTAACGTTGCCTTCCCCACTTCAGGCGTTGGCCAAGGCTAGTGACCCACGCATCGCCCCGCAGACACATTCAGACCCACCGACGCTCTGTTGGAGAGATGTGTCTGACGCCCTAGAAGAGTTAGAGACTGAGTGGTCAGGGAAGGACCCCAGGGACTCTTGGGCGATGATCAGTAGAGGTCCAAAGGGTGAACATTTCGTGGTAGAAGTAGATGTAGGTGGCCGCAAGGTTGGCGCCTTTGCAAACATAGGCTCTACACGAAATTTCATCAGTCGTGCTTGTGTGGATAGACTGCGCTTAGGGGACCGAGTGCAGCGGCTTAGCAGGACTGTAGCTTCTACGCTAGCCAACAAGCACCAAATGGTTGTCAACGACTATGTTAAGGACATAGCATGCACCTTCTCCTATGGAGGAGGGGAAGTGATCCACAAGATCTTCTTCCTAGTTAGCGACGAACTGCCATTCGATATGTTACTGGGCATGTACTACCTCGAAGTCTCGCAACCTCAGTTTAACTGGGATAGAAAGGTGTTCACCAAATGGTTGTCAAAGACTGTTAAGGACATAGCATGCACCTTCTCGTATGGAGGAGGGGAAGTGATCCACAAGATCTCCTTCCTGGTTAGCGACGAACTGCCATTCGATATGTTACTGGGCATGTACTACCTTGAAGTCTCGCAACCTCAGTTTGACTGGGATAAAAAGGTGTTGATTCACAAGTTGCCCAATGGTAGAACTGTTAGATTGCAAAAGTATAAGGCTAGCAGTCTAATAAAAAACTACGGGTGTATGTGTGCCTCATCCTTCTATAACTATTATAAGCAGAATCGAGAGGAGGGCATGTATCTCGTCTTTGTCTCTAAGAAAGGGGAGGCCGTTAAATCACCCCCAAAGATAGAAAAAGTCGTCGCTCAATATTCAGACCTTTTTTAGGAGCCCACAGGCGTTGTAGAAAGGGAGGTTGTCCATGCGATAGAGGTTGTCCCAGGTCGCACGGTGCCTAGAGGACGAATCTATAGGATGTCTCCTGCGGAGTTAGATGAGCTTCGCCGCCAGCTCAAGGAGCTCACAGAGAAGGGATGGATACGACCTAGTACCTCCCCTTACGGTGCGCCAGTCTTATTTGTCCCAAAGAAGGAAGGTCCATTAAGGATGTGCATTGACTATAGGGGCCTCAATGCCATCACCGTTAAGAACGTGGAGCCCCTACCCCGCATCGACGACGTCTTGGATAGAGTGCAGGGATGCCGGTACTTCACAAAGATACATCTGAAGTCCGGATACCATCAAATTGTCGTTAGACCTGAGGACCAGCATAAAAACGCATTCCAGACCAGGTACAGTCTGTACGAGTTTGTGGTGATGCCTTTTGGCCTATGCAATGCGCCTGGTACATTTCAGCACGCGATGAACCGGATATGCTCACCTAGGTTTGAATGGAAAGAGGCAGATTACCCAATTAATTGGGGACAGGAGGCGAAACGACATCTCGTTACAACACAAACCAATCCACTTCTGTCAACGGTAACGAACTCAGACGTAGAGGGTTCGCACAGGAGAAAGCGTACAGATTGTCTGCAGGCAGCAGATCCAAGATGTGGGGACACCTTGCGAGAGTCGACGAAGGCCTCTAGCGAGCCTCTGGAGGCTCGCGGCAGAGTTGGAAGAGCACAGCAGAAAGACTCTAGATACGACACATTTGCAACTAACTTGATGAAAATTACATGAATAATAAATAAAACATACAAAAACACACTGTGATTGTTGTGCGCTTGCTGTGCACTTCTGTAATGCAGTTCTCCCATACCAACGTAGCTACCCGGCAATGCCACTGGCATGACAACCGGTCCACCATAGGTTGACCCATCCCAGTCCTCTCGTACTAGGGATGGCTTCTCTCAGTTCTCTTCAAATCACCAATGGTAGATAGGAACGGAACTATCTCACGACGTTCTAATTGTTATGTTGGCCACTTAGCCCGCTCGAGCCTGTTGTTGCTCAGTATACATACACTAGTAGCACTCTATGTATCTCTACATAGCACGGACTCTAAACAATTGACTGTTGAATATTGAAAATGATATAGCAATTGTAAAACAGGAAAACTCAATAGAATAGCCATGATTTTGAGTAACCAGTGACTTAGTAATTGTGAAATTAAAATCTTTTGTTAACGAGTGGATGGTCCACTTCAACAATACAATTCGAGTGTACCATCTTCAAAATCATTTTGAAACAAACGGTCCATATTGGGAAGAAAGTCCGAGCGTACTTAGAAAGGTCGATATAAGATCACGTATCGCAATTGCGTCAGGAAGAGGGTCGGTAATGCCTATCACAAAGTCATCTGCGTATCGCACATAGCTAAGACGTCGAAAGTTTGCGTCTGCCACGAAGTTACCTTCAATTGAAGGTCAAATAACTCATGGAGTTTCATATAATGCAACTTTTCACGTAATTGTTTTATTTCTGTCTGTATGACAATCAATTGTTTATGGATTTTCATTTCAAATTGTTCTCTAGACGTGTTTTGTTATTCCTAGTTGTTACAAAACACAAAGGGTCCAACGAACAAAATTGTTCTATTTGAGTGTAATTTCTTTCTTGTTGTTTTTTTTCTCTTATTTATTATTGGGTAGTTCTCATTATTTGGAACTTGTTGTTTACCTTAAATACAACATCTACGAATTTACTGAGTACTTGGACAAGTTTATCATCGTGTACCTCGACGATATCCTTATCTTTAGTAGGACTGTAGAGGAGCACGCTGAGCACTAAAAAAAGTAGTGCTAGGTCTTCTAAGACAGCACCAATACAAGGTAAACTTGGATAAATGCGAGTTTGGTGGCAACAAGCTCTTGTACTTGGGTCATGAAATTTCAGCAGATGGATTGAGGCCGGAAGATGCGAAGGTGGCCAGCATACGTGACTGGCCCAGACCTCAGACTGTTACTGAGGTCAGATCGTTTCTGGGGATGACGGACTACTATCGTCCGTTTGTAAAGAACTATAGTACTGAAGCTTCCCCATTAACAGATCTAACTCGACTAGACACCCCTTGGGAGTGGACTGAAGATTGTGAGGCGGCCTTTAGGAAAATGAAGTATGCTCTAACACACTATGAGGTTCTTGAACTTCTTGATCCTGATAAGCCGTTTGTAGTGACCACCGACGCCAGTCAATATGGCATATGCGCGGTCCTTGCGCAAAAGGAGGGGCCCAAGTTGAGACCCATCGAGTACATGAGCAAAAAGATGCCATCTCATAAACTGGCGAAGTCCACTTATGAGCTCTATGCCCTGTACAGAGCGCTGCTACATTGGAGACACTATCTCCTCGGCAAATTCTTCTATGCGAGATCTGACCATCAGACCTTGCGCTGGATCAAGACTCAGCCAGTACTCACTGACGCCCTCAAGCGCAGGATACAAGTGATAGACATGTATGACTATCAACTTGATCCAATAAAGGGAGAGTACAACAAAGTGGCTGATGCATTATCTCGCCGGGCGGATTATCTAGGCGCACTCGTAACAAAGTTTGGCATATCTAGCGATTTGACTCGATCATTGGTGGACGGCTTGCTGTTTGGCCTATCAGCAGGATCCAGTTATGTCTGAGATCATTCGTAGATTCAAGGCAAAGGATAAAAAGACTTTGGACGAATTTACGATGGTAGACAGCTTGCTGTTTCTTGAGAAGGCAGGGAATAAAAGGTTGTGTGTTCCCAGTAATGAGTCGTTGCGTAGTTTATTTTTAGGAGAATGCCACGATGCAACTGGTCATTTTGGCTACAAAAAGACATCAGCAAACTTAGTACAAAGATTATGGTGGCCCTCTATGACGCTAGATGCAAAACGCTATGTTGAAACTTGCCAGGTTTGCCAAAGAGACAAACCAAGGACTCAGGCTTCGCTTGGGCTGATCAAGCCCTTGCCGGTTCTTGAAGGACCAGGTCAGAGTGTGTCTATGGATTTCATGGACACCCTTGTGACCAGCAAGTCTGGAAAGAGGCATATCTTTGTTATAGTGGACCGTTTTACTAAGTACGCAAGACTGATCGCCATGCCAGAACCAGCTAAACTGACTACGTCATAAACTTGTTTATGCATAATTGGGTACGGGATTTTGGTTTGCCTGCATCCATCGTTAGCGATAGGGATGTGAGATTCACAAGTGAACTGTGGCAGTCAACTGCTCAACAGATGGGCACCAAACTCCAAATGACCTCAGGGAATCACCCTGAGTCAAATGGCCAGGCAAAACAGATGAACCGGGTAGTACAGCACCTGCTTCGGCATTACATTAAGCCAAGTCAGGATGACTGGGACGAGAAGTTACCTCTCGTCGCTAGCTTGTACAACAATGTTGTGCACAGTACAACCGGTATGACTCCCAACCAGTTACATCTTGGTTGGAAGCCTAGAACTGCATTGGACTTTCTGCTTATAGACAATATTAACAACATATGTAACATGTAATCTAATTTCATATAATTGTGTAATTTGAATTCACTCATTCACTTTTATTTGTTAATTAATTGAATCCAGAAAAACAATCCACTACAGCACCTGGCAGCATAGATTTTGATGTCAAATATGAACAGATGTTATAGCAAGCCGTTGAACATATTAGGAAGTCTCAGGATGCTATGATTGCATATGAGAATAAGCATAGACTGCCCTCTAACTTTCAGGTACGTGAACGAGTCTGGGTAAAGTCATCTGAATTAGGTCAGGAGTTGGGGATATCCAAAAAATTGATGCCACAGTATTTCGGGCCCTGGGAGATCTTGGACATTGAGTATCGTGTGAGCTTCAGACATCATTTGGATCCTAAAGAAGACAAGTGGTTCACACGAGAAGAACTCATGAGAACAGCACCTCAAGTGATCGCAGGCTATGAAAGAGCACTCAAGGGGAAGATACCTGCAGAATGAGAGACTTCTCAGAGGACTCACGAAGAACAGGAGGAGGGAATGCGAGGATCAGGGTCCTCAGTAGGCCTATGGGGCCCTGTTTGCAGCATTACCCGCCCTAAGTGAAGGCGGAGATGCCCGCCCTAAGTGAAGGCGGGCCTGGCTTTTTGCAAGAGGCCCTCGCCTGTCAATTTCATATTTGGGGTCCAGGCAGTTGCGACGCGCCAGTTGGTTGAAAGAAACACAAGCCGAGCAACAAAGACATTTCCACGGCCCTCCGGGCCTTTCCAAAGAATGCAGGCCCTGGGCGTGATTCGCTGCCTCATACAGAGACAGTTGGGCGACCAACC